TATAGAGACTACAGGAGATCTGCAAAAACAAAGCAACACAAGGGGCCTGGAATCAGAATAGCAGATTTTCGATTCCTGGAGACTCATGACACACCCGCTTAAAAAACAAACTGTATGCCCCAAGGTTGTTTTTACTTCTAACGGGAACATTTAAGGCGACAGCGAAACAATACAATGAAATGTATTATTCGAATTCATGGTGAAGCCTCAGTGCTGACACCCACACAGCATTGGCAGCATATGAGCAAAACAGGGAAGGAGACCACACGGAGACACACTGGTGCACAACAGCATTTAAACACACACATTTGCCAATGTAGCAAAGCCCAACTTTGACAGGCAGAAAGTATAGACAGTCTTACAGCTTACCCTCTCTTTCCGTACGCGATGAAATATTCTCAGTGCTCAATAGTATATGACGCTTTTCTGCCTTTTTTTATCCCGATCCTGGTGTTTTCAGAGCAGGTTTATCTCCTGGAGTTCGTCGTCTCTCCCTCTCTTTGCTAGCCCCGCCCATCCGCCATCATCCAACTTGGGTGCGGCAAACGAGTTCATTTACGGACCCTCATTGGACGATTGGAGTCATGTGACAATATCGTGGTTTAGAAGGAGGGAAGTAGTTGGAGGTACGAGCTGTATGGCTCTGCCCCCCACGCAAAGGGTTTGAGTTTGCTATTAAGAGCTAACGAAAGTGAAGGAAGGATAAGACATGCTACTAATATGCGTGTTTATACTCTGTTCATTTAGCCTCAGGCTTAAAGTCGAGTTTTTAGAATTCCAAAAAAACAAACTGTGGCTAACGGACGTCATTTCATGTAAAATCAATGATCTACACAGAGAACCCCAACTAAAAAACGACCCGCCTACCGACAGCCCTTCACCCTTTAACCTCGACACCCCCCATCACTTCGCCTTCTGTTTTACATGTTTTACGTACTTCATGACCTTGTTAGCATAAAATGTCAATGGTTTAGTTGTTACAGTGTTGTAGTTCATAGAAAGTTGGGCTCTACTGGTTTTGTTTTATGAAAACCTACTGCCTCCTTTTGGTAGCAATGCGGCAATGACATGTAAAAAACTGAAATATTAAATGACTTAAAAATGGTCAGTGATTAATAAGATGAATTAACCATTCATTAAAAAATGACACAAAATGCAAAACAATACAACATATACATAGACAATAAATGAGGCAAAGTAATCATAAATATTGCTGACATGTACAGCAGATATCAAAAACTACTGGTCTGTGGAATACACTAATATCATCATGGCTTTTCCCGCCGAACCACAAGTAACTTTTTTTTTCTAGAGCATCCAATGAAATTAGATAAAAAATAACACAGGGACAACTTCAATGGATATCACCTAGTTTACGGCACGTGATGGGTTTCACCGCTAGGGGGTGTTATATTATCAGTGATTTTCCTCTGAACGCAATGAAGGCTCTGAATTAACCAAGCTGATCACAGTACAGTATACCTCACAATGAATTGCGAAATAAGGCTGGACAGAAGAAACAATTATACCTCACAATGAATTGCGAAATAAGGGACAGAAGAAACAATCTAACTGCAAGGAAGCCCAACTTCTGTATCATTGTATCTTAAAATCTTTTTGATCGCAGGGTGAACCAGTAGCAGCTTGATTTGTCATTGTACATTTACACATGCCACAGAATTTGTCCTCTGAACTTCAACCATCCAGGAAAGAGGAGCAGTGTGCAGCAGTATTGAAACCCTGTGATTGGTCATGAGGCCCATCTCTTAAGCACTTGATAGGCTGCTGAAAAAACATATAACAGCACATAAAGAACGTTCAATAAATGTTTAATGTATTGTCGTTATATTGCTTCTTTTTTTAGTAATGAAGACCGCCCCTAGTGCTCTTTAAATAACATTGGTTCACACATATTAATTTCCATTTATACCCATCCACTTCCACTCCTACGTTCCCTCACACGCCCACTAACTTCCATTCCTTCATTCCCAATCCCACCTGTCTAACTAGCACAATCACCATGATCATCTTAGTACAAAGTGTTACACCCAGAACCTTACATTATCATTGTCGTAGACGCTGCATGTAAACCTTTGAAAATGTTGATATACTCAATGTTTTTTTAATTACCTCCAGCATAAGTCAGATCACACATGCATGATCCCAGACCACTGCAGGCCCCTCAAGTGTTGTGAATGATTGTGGTCTGCCTTGTAGCATGGATACACCAGCTGGGGACTCTAAATATATCCGATTGCTGTGTCTGAAAAGCGCAGGCATGAAGATCATACACTTACACTTGAAATCTACACCTCTCTGTATTGCCTATTCATTTTTTGTCCTTGCATGTGTTTTTTATAACCCTGTCCTTGCTTAGACATTTACATTTTTGGCATTTATCTCATCTTTTATCTACATCAACATTAACATAATTTACTTTAAAATGTGTAACCCTGTGTTTGCATGTTCCTTTTTATGGCTTCTACAGTTTAAGCATTCAAATTCCATTCTAATGTGAGGTAACAGTAGATTAGCTTCCAACAAGCTAGGTTTATGTTTAAGTGGAAGCAGAAATACAATCAAATAAACTACTGATGAAACATAAAAGAACTAGACCAATTCCTAGAACCCAGATAGTTAAGTAAAATGCAGCTCCAAAAATACAGATCTGCTCTAATTGGCAACAAATCATTTTAGCCCTAGAATTATGTTTGGGTTTCAGCACACATTCCTTGGTCACCTGTTTTCTCTTAGCAGCACATGTCAGAGTGAGTGAAGATAAACCCAGCTGCTTTTCGTATTCATTTCAGGCAGCTCTTACCACCCTTTTAACTATAGCCAGCCTTCAACTAGGCTGTCAGATCCAAGGGGCTGATATGAATATAAACAGTTTGTCACATATCATATGTATATCTGTTGAACTTTTGAACATTTGCATATTTAGTTACATGTTTATTTTTCTGTGGACATAAAGGTATATTTATGGCTTTATTTAGACATATTAAAGGTACACTGTCTTCACAACATCTTGACATTTGTCATTTGATGAACTTATATAAAGAAGCCACAGAGGTGCATACTGTCGTTGTTCTACAATATACCAGCAGCAATCTGTCTTTTACTCAAAGATGGTATTGTGTTTAGCCTGCTGTGCCAGGGAAAAGGCCCCCTCCCCTCTCCTCTGCCCTTCACAATGAGACAAGGGTCACCCTGTCTTCTCTGCACCGTGTTTTTGATTCACTTCTATTTAAGGAAAATGTTGTAAAACCTTTGACCCCTAGCAACTATGTTTTTACACACGCCGGCTCCATTTAGAGAGTCTACTTTAGTCTTTCAAGGCAAATGATCGGTCACCATGACTAAGGCCATTAGCCTTGGGGTATGTTACATACTGTCAAAGGGTGGGGCAGAAATGTTTGCAGATAAGGAGAATAATTTATATCATTCTCTTAGGAAATTTCCAAACACTTTTCAGAGTGAGAATGTTTTTAAATATTTACAGTTAATTAATTATTAACCATAGACATTACGTTAAGTTTAGGCCACTGGTACAATACTTCAACATTTGAAATCAGGCAACCCCACTTCACCTCAGATGACACCAAAGTGTACACAAAGTGGGGAAATAATACTTTTGTTATACAATTTACATTTTTTGAATGTGATTTGATTGTGAACTCTGGGATTATTTGTCATTTTGGGTGGTGTGAAGTGAAGAAACCTGGGAAATTATTTTGGTTTCTGGTGATGGCAAAATCTCGGGGTCAAACTGGTGTAGTCAGGCCAACCAATAGCACGTGTGACACCAGCGGTACAATGTGGTACAACTTAAAGGGCAAAGCGCCTGTGTAAAATTAACGGCTAACTAAACTAAAGCTAATAACACTATGTCTTCCATCGCCTGGGCTGCAGGACTCTCGATCCAAGTCTTGAGAATCGGATTGACAGAATGTAAGGTAAAGTTTAACGAAGTCAAAGTCCTGAGAGGACAGAGGGCGTCAGAACTCCGGTCCTACTTTCTCAAAGTCAAAGTGTCCTTATATAGTTTTCCCGTACCATACATATAAAAATTAAAACATTCTAAATTGCGAGACAACCAAAAAATTTCCAAATGCTGTACACCTGTTACCCCAAGCCAGTGCTCACAGTAAAGTGCAGTGAATAACCTTCCTCCTCCTCCTCCTTTCCTCCTCCTCTTCGTCGCCCTCCCTTCGTCTGCTGATATCCCAGCAGCGTAGAATCAGCCTCACAGTCGCCGCCATGCTGAGCTGAGAGGGAGATACACGGCGAACTTTCTCTACCGCTGCTTCTCGCGTTTGACAAAGAGGAGACCTGTCTTCCCTGCGGTGAGTACCATACATTTTACAGTTATAATAATTGATATTTGGAATAATTATTAGCTGTAAGTTCAGAAGCAGCGAGACGTTAGTGTGTGAAAGTAATTCCCAGCGATTGTGATACCCGCTGCTGCTTGTACTCGTGAGCGCTGTCGCCGGTTTCAAGCTCAGCTGCACTTGTTGCTCTGGAGCGAGAAGGTTTTCTTCTACACCAAAAAAAAAAAAAAAAACACCTCATACTCGCAGAGGTAAAACATTATAGTCTCATTTTTCTGTTTCTTCGTTTTTAAAATTCGCTTTGAATACATAAAGGGGAAAACCACTACAACGCTATACTTTTAAATACAGTTTGTAAAGGAAATTAAACTTTCTTTTGGTCACGGAGCAGCCGTCATTGGCCTTGAATCTAAAATAATAATAATAAGAAAAAAACACTTGTCAGACTATAATTCCGTGGCTGCGCACTCTCAATCTTTTTAAAGATTAAAATTCCCTCGGCACCCGGGGGTCATTCAGGGGTTTCTGGCCTTGGCATGCATAAATCAAGGGTCTTCTTTTGAGTTCAACAACAAAAGAGCTTCGCTGGCTGCAGCCGAGCTCATAAAACAGACTGTTTTTTATTGTATTTATAGCTTCTCGTGGAGCATCAGTGCAGATAAATACCTGCATCCACTCACGGATGGGTTTCGACTCAGGTCAGAGTAGCGGTCGAGCATCACAGCATGCTTGTAAACCTGTGACCTGCGTGTTGTCTGGTCTCAGATGTTAAGTGCTGGAGCTGCAGGGCAGAAAAAGAGGTTATGGATATGATCCCTGTCTTAACATTTGCCCCCTGGCTTGGAAAAAACCCAAGTTCACGTGTCTCTGCATTGGCTTTTAAGTGTAATTCAAAGTGCTTGATGATAAGAACCTTTGTTCTTGGTCTTCAGTTTTTGCTTTTTTGAGACACAAACAAATACGGACTCCTGTCAAAATTCTTAGGTCAGTTAAAACTGAATTCAATAATAAAAAAAGAAAATTACAGTCAACTTATTGACTGATTATTCAGGTTTGTAGAGCTTGGTTTCATGACATAAGGGTTTCTCGTAGCAGCAGTGTGACTTCTATGTCACTCTGGTTTTAAAAAAAATGTAATACTTACAACCACAGATATACTAAATATTAGTTGAATAGATCTAGAGAGATTCAGAACATAAAATTATTACCATCGGGAATGACACATAGAGTCAGATAAGGAAGTAAAATCTCATTGAGGATTTTGACACCCCCTCAGTTTCAGGAAAACATACATAGCATATCAGGAAGTTCAAGCTGCAGGAAGACCAAATTGTTGTGTCAAATTTCTACAGACTCGTTCAAGAATGCCCACTTCACACTGGCTTTGCTCTGACAAGATCTTTGGATCCTGAATCAATTTTTTTTAATCAATTTTTGGAACTGCCTGGCCTGTTTACACTAACAAAACAAGTTTGGATCCAGAAAGATGGGTTCCCGGGAAGTGGGGGTGGTAATACTCTGTTTACTATGTAAACAGTTACATCATTGATGAGTGTGAGTTGTACACACGTGGCTGGCTTTCTGATATCCTCAAGATTTATATTAACATTTAAAAAAAATATTGTGCTTCTAAAAAGAATAATTATTCTTATAATTACCTAAAATTAAAAATGTATAAATATTACCGAGGAGATTATGTATTTGTTTTTTGTCAAGAGTGAGAAATTGTTTGTTTTTTAAATTTGTTCTACTTCCACTACTTTTAAACTGTTGATTTTTTTAAACGCTCTTTGTCTCACCTGGGGCACACTGTTTATTTTGAAATAGTTTTTGCTCTGTTAGTTTTAGTGTGAAATGTTCTTACTGCACTGGTTTCCACTTGATAGAATTCCAAAAAAAAATTTTTTTTTGCTGCAGAACCAAACAGCAAAATGGAGGTTTCACTGAAGAACTGATGTTCACGATATAACTCAGTCATGTGACCCACTTTTTGGGTCATGACCTGCTATCTGTAAAAACTGTTTTTTGTTGAAATTCATTGGGAAAAATCTGAGACTTCAAATAAATGTTTTCTTTCTTCTTGAAATACTTTATTAAAAATCCTCATTGTTATTACCTTATTTACTTTATGTGATAAACTAATTTGTCTTACCATTGTACACATATTTAACGGTCTGTCTGTGTTGCATAAGCAGTTATGAAGTGCCTTGGTGTGTTTTCTGAAGCGTAGTTGGATATAACAACCAGTCTACCCCTCCCTCCATGGCATTAGACGTCCCTTCACTCAATAGTTACAACTTCTGCCTCCACAGGTCACTTTTGCTGGGTCACTTTAGGCAATAGGACAACCACTTGGATCTTGTCAATATGATTAGTTGGTTGTCGCTTCACTGGCACCCTGGCAGGCTAGAATCATGTCAGAAAGACCCCGGGGCGGGGAGCAGAGAGAGGGGAGAACTGGCCAGAACAGGATATGGTTGTGTGATCATTCACCAGCAGCAGACAAATCATTAAACCCCTGCCTGCTGCTGAGCTGCTGTGGCATTTTTGTCTGTGGCACTGACTTTCCCTCAGGCTGGACACTGTGTCTGTTGTAAGATTTTTAAATCTGTGGACATCAGTACTAGGTTAGGTACAAAATGAAATAGTGTCCTTTTATAAACTTGGATTTCTGTTTTTGTCATTCCTGTGACAATTATAAGGCCTGAGTATCTCTTACCCACTGCCTACAAGAGGAAATATGTCCACACAGAACTTTCTGCTCTGCAGAAGACTTAATTTATGGTTTGTGACTACAAAGACGTTACAGTTTGTTTTAATCTCTATTCATAGACAAACAGTTTTCTGTTGGTGTGTGTTTGCCACAGTTATTGGAAGCACAGGACTCGCATATGTCAAAGGAGACAACAAATGCTCTCGCTTATTAAAGATAACTACACTTAAGCACGCAAGCTCTTCTTGAGAGGCCTCTTCCGCTTATCAAATCAATAATCAATTTAAAATGGCTGGGAGATGGTTCTCTGCTCAGGAAGGCTGTGCCTAGTTTAAAGAGTCTTGTCTGAAACAAGGCATTATTTATTCAGACACATTTTGAAGTTTCACTATGATCTGACTGGCCTTTTTTTTAGTTTAAGGCAACTTGGTACACTGCTACTGAAATGCTAATTTGATCTGCTTTTTTTGGACTAATTTAAAAGTAAACTAAGTATCTTGTTTAGAAAATCATAATGTTAAATGTTAGTCACACACCAGTGTATCATCTAGCCATCAAACCTCAAATTAAGCTTGAAAATTAACTTAACTTCCTCTTGTAATTTACCTACTAATCCACTTATGGAGTTCACTGAATGACTTGGAGGAAGTGGTTGGTTTAAAGGTTTGGACGTTGCCTAAATTTTTAATTGGTTCCCCTTACTTGCCTGCCAAAACAACAATTAATCACTTAAGTACTATAATATAATAAACTGGCAACTTGACCCACAGTAAAAAACACCTAATTTGAAAGACGCTTTTCTTATCATTTTCTTATTGCATCATTATTTCAGGGTCAGAGTCTAGGTAGGGATTTGCATGGCACGTGCAGAACACATTGACTGTTTAGATCCAGTATTGGAGGGATTTGCATGGCACGTGCAGAACACCTTGACTGTTTGGATCCAGTTAAATTTGTATGGTTACAATTAGACCAATATAATTTTTTTATATAAACTCTTAACTGGGCCAATCATGAGTCTCTAGAGACCTTGTCAGTCTTCTTCTTGTCTTCTTCTCAGTTTGAGTGAACTCCACCTTGCCTGGTTAAAAAAAAAACAAAAAAAACTTCAAATCACCTGAGCAGGGAGCTTCCCACTTCCTGCTGTGGCGGTAACACTGAAACATGTTGCGGTGTTTGCACAGACACCTACGAGCCGTCACTTTATTTAACTGCTCATTTGCATCTTAACTGTTAGGATTCTGTTCATGGTCCAGTCGGCAAACTCGTTTGCACTCCCTACTGATGAGCAAATGCCATACTCTATATGAAGTACTGCTGACCTTTCATAAACGCCTCTTAGATGTCACACGTTGAGGAAATAAGGTGCTGAGTGTGATGTATGACTTGCAGCAGTTTCATTGTTTCATTGTCGTGACCCTGGAGGAGTTTAAGGGTAGAGGTCAGGGGCCGGTCTATGGGGCTCTGATGTTGAGGTGTGTTAGCAGGATCCACGGACCACTGGGACCACCCTCATCTCCTTTTTAAATGTACAACCCCCACTAGCCCCATCCCTGCCACACCCTCAGGTCTGAATAATTTCCTAGTGGCTAAAAAAGAGTAGCATCTGGCTGTGTATTAGCTGCACAGCCACGTCTGGGTCACTTTGTGTGTCTTTTTCTGTCTATGTATAATACATTCCATAGATGTCTCAGCAAAGTTTGACCATGAATAAATGTTGGTTTCCGATCAGCTGATGGTAAGAAATAAACACTGGCTGTTAAAGCGATAGTTTAGACTTTTTCCCCAGTGTGGTTAAATAAAAGATGGCTCTTTCCTGCTAAAATTACTGGGTACGCCCGGGATTTTTAAACCAAAGTGAACCTACGAGTGATTAAATCTGTTCCCATGACTGGTAATCACGTTTTTCATCACTTCTGGCTCGGCTTAATTGACATCAAGACCACATTATACCTGGTACAATGTATAGTTTTTAGACAATCGTCCAGTCCTAAAATGAAGGAGACTGAGCTGAAGATGTTACAGTTTTAGATTGACAACAACCAGGACGGACATTATAAAGTTTTGTTTTGTGATTAGGTAGACATCATTTGACTGGTTTGCACATGTTCTGAAAAGAGATAAAGAACGTTAGAAGTAAGAGGAGTCCAAGGCAGATGATCTAGAAAGGTGGACTGCATGTACTATATGTGTGCCATTGGTAACAAGAAGCATTTTTTCAGTAGTTGTTCACATAGTCAAGTACTACTGAACCATACCTGTGGTTGTGTGCAGGACACACATTCTAGGCAAAAAAGTATGTAAATGCATTTTCTAGCTAGCAGTTGCTAGTCGGGTTGGAAGCCGTGCATGAACTGAAGCCGCTGCACCTGTAAAGCCCTAAGTGATGCTGTTGAGTGTTTCCTGGTGCGGTGTTGTCACACCATTGACAGCTCATTTCACACTTTGAAAAGGTTCCCAGTGTTAATCTGCTAAGAGCAGGAAGCTGGAAGGAAAATAGAGAGAGCCAGGCTGCATACAGTACATTCTGTGACTGTGAGGCATATGACTGACTCACACAGATGAACGACGAAAGAGGGCGTTGCCCTGTCCGTGTCCAACTTCAGTCCCTAGAGAAGAGGTTCTGCAGCTGCAGACTCAACAGTTTATTGTGCAGCAGGTAGATGACAATCAAATAACCCTCGTCAGGTTGATCTGTGTGAGTTGTCCTGGGACTGCATAGTGAGAAAGACGCAGCTGTCTCAACGGTTCAACTGCCTGAGGCATTAACTTTACTTATACTTACTTGTCTGTGGGGTTTTTATTTACTCTGTGTATTTTGTAAATAAACCCATGGCTCACTACTAACACAGACCGCAGCTGAACCCTCTTGAAGAGAGAAAAAAAATGCCCCCATCACAACAGACACACTCCCCTCCCCCTTTCTTACCTCTCATCATTTACTAACCCCAAATTCTTCCCTCCCCCTCTTCAGCGATTGTGTGCACTGACGCTTTCCAGAGGCGCGTTCCCTGCACTGACGCTTCCCACTGGTGGACTGTGCTTTAGCGCTGTGACAGAGGGGAGAGGCAGCTCTTGTACTTGTGCTCTGGGACTGACCTGCATTTTACTGAAACTAGCCCTTTAAAGAGAGTGCTCTTTCTCCACCCTTTGCATCCTTGTTAGCTCTTTTTTTTCACCAATGTAATTTGTGCAAGAGCGAGGGA